ATGGAATATAATTTCCCTTAAAAAGGAAGGAAATTCTAACATGCTACAATGTGGATGAACCTTGAAAATGTTATGCTAAGTTAAATAAGCTAGTCACAAACACTGTATTATTCCACTCATATGAGATACTTAGAGTAGTCAAATTCATAGAAACAGAAAGTAGAATGGTGGTTGCCAGGTGGAGTTGGGTGGGGGAATGGGAAATTATTGTATAATGGGAACAGAGTTTCAGTTTTACAAGATGAAAAAAATTCTGGAGATGGATGGTAGTGATAGCTGCACAACAATGTGAAGGTACTTAAAGTTATTGAACCATACATTTAAAAATGGTTAAAATGGTAAATTTTATGTTGTCTATATTTTACCACAATTAAAAAAATAAAAATAAACCCACCAATGCAAACAATTAGGAAGTGTACTGGCATGTATAACTGGAGGTCCCGAGGTAGAGTGTCTCCTGGTTGGCTTCCTGGTGTTTCTCTTGGCTCACCCTGTTCGTTGCCACAGTTTCTCATCCAGCACAACCATATCACAAGGAAGACGAGAGCCCATCCATTCCAGCCTTGCCAGCAAAGGGCCTGAGATTCACTCCCATTGGCATGCTGTCACATGCTCATCCCTGAACCAATGACTATTGTAGGGGGAATGGAATGAAAGATACTGATTGCCTTAAGCCAACTCCCAAGCCTGAAGTTAGAGATGGGGCAGCTTCCCTCTTAGGGACATGGACTGCCTGGGGGAGGGTGAATGTCTGTTAGGAAGGAGGAAGGAGCATATGGTGATGGTAGCTACCAGAAAAATTTACTGCCTCATATCCAGCTCAGACTTACTGGAAAGGTTCAGGAGACACAGAGGCCATCCATGGAGGAGAAATTAATGTGTGTGCAAGAGCAGATAGTTTTCCTGTCTGCATTAGTTCTTAGGACCTGCTAACCTGAAGACTCAAGTAGTTTCATGCATGCCTCATTGCTTTTTGGGGGGGACATCTCAGTAAACATATTTTTCCTTACGGTATAGTGATACTTATTAATCAAGATGTTGCATTTCATTTTTTCAAATATTTGTTGAGACACTTCTTCAAGTGTTTCAGGCAAAGGGAACAAGGTGAGCAAAAGAGGAGATGAGGGGAAAATGACAAACTGCTAGTACAAGTAGTTTGATGTCGCTGTAGTATAGTCTGTGGGTGAAGGGGTAGTGGGAGAGAAGGGTGGAAAGATAGAATGGAAGGAGATTATAAAGGCCTTTGGCTAGGCAGTGCTTGTTTCAACTTACTGATGTAAAACATACATACAGTAAAGTGCATGAAGTGCATTAAATTTAAGCCAACATTCCATCAAATTTTACATATGTGTAAACCCATATAATCACCATGCAGATCAAAATCTAGAACATTTTCAGCATTCCAGAAAGTTCCTTCATGCTCCTTCCCAGTCAATACCCACCCTGGAGGAAACTACTATTCTGGCCTCTATCACTATTAATTAGTTCTGCTTGTTTTTAAATTTCATTGAAATGGAATTATATAATATGTACAAAAAGCCAGGTACATATTGTATCTGGCTTCTTTCACTCAACATAATGTCCATGAGATGCCTGTGTTGTTGTATATATCAGAGTTTGTTCATTTTCTAGTTGGCGGACATTTGGGTTATTTCCGGTTTGTGCTAGTGTAAACACAGCTGTTAGGAACATTCTTTTATGCATCTTTTGGTGAACTCATTTCTCTTGAATATATACCTAGAAGTGGGTAGGTGTGTTCCGCATTAGTAGATACCGCCCACGGTTCTCCAGAGTGGTTGTACCAAGGGGGTGGGATTTTAGCTTGAGGGAGTGATGCAAGGAAATTTACATTTTACTCCAGCAGCCACTGTGTTAGATGCACTGAAGTGGGATGAGAGTCTAGATGGGGATGCCAGTAAGGAATCACAGCCTGCATGCAACATGCAGGTGAGGGATGCTGAGGCCTCAGCTCAGGCAACAAGCATGGAGGAAGAGGATGGTTTTGAGAGATGGTGGGAAGGTAGAACTGACATGATTGTTTGGATGTGGTGGGAAGGGAAAGAATGGAGGCCCAGATGACTGCCAGGCCTCTGACCTGGTGTCAGCAGAATGATGGTGCCCTTCTCCAAAAGAGATAGCACTTGAGAAGGAGCAGGTTCGAGGAAGAAGATGAGCTCCATTTTGAACATGTTGAATCTGAGGGTGGTATCCAGTGGGCAATTGGATACATGGGATTGAAGCTAAGGGGATAAAGCAAGGCTGGAGATTTATATTAGGGCATCGAGCAAATCAGCGAACCATCCAGAGAGAGGATATAGAAGAAGGATTCCAAGAAGATGATCGAGAAGTCATTTCCTGAGAGGTGGGAGGAAAGCCAGCCTGCTATGATGAAACCAAGGGGAGGGAGAGTTTCCACAAGGAGGAAGTGGTCAACCTTCAACGCTGCTGAGGAGCCAAGAAAGATGGGCACTGAAAGGTGTCTAGTGAATACTGAGTTGAACCTAGTCATACATAGTTCAGGGGCACCCAGAGTCCCCCACTTCTGGTCTTTCTTCAGCCTTGCCAGAAGCCCACACCAGTGAGACTGGGCTGGCTGGCCTGCCTCCCCGCTCGGGCCTGGTTCATGGCCTCTCAGCCTGGGGGGAGGGAGGGAGATTCAGCCTCAGTCCAGGGACAGTGCCTGTGGCCTTTCTGAGAAGTTTCTGGGGACCTCAGCAGGACAATAGAGGGCAGACAGCAGCTAATGCAAGACAATCAAGTGCCTCCTGACACTAGAAACATTGAAAACATTGACATTTGGACACAATTTTCCCCTGGAGCCTTTCCCCTATGGAAATTCCCAGTTGTAAACCATACTGACTTTAATCTCAAGTGTCAGAAAGGTTGCCCAGGAGTCTGGGAGCCAACCAGCTGAAAGCACATTTGTATGGAAGTCAGGGCAAACAAAATAGGATTCAGAACATTTTTTGAGATCTGCGCCAGTAGTGAACTTTTCTGGGAAACATGACAAAAACTGACTCTCTTAGGCAAAAAAGCACTGAGCCTTATCATTATTAATTCGTATTCTTACTGAAATACAAAGTTAGGGAAATGATGAAGGGAAAGAACAGCACATGTCTTACATCTTTACCGGGCACAAGGGGGCTGGAGGAGGCTCCCCCTAGAGTTTAACGGGCAGCTTTATGTATTTATATGCTTTGACTGGAGCTAAAGAGGTCTGTGCCACACAATGGGCAGTTTCTAGTTGGATTTTAAAAGAAATAACTTTGATCATTTCAAAAGCAATGAAGCCTGATGCAGTGGAGAGAAAAGAAGGCGGTAATTTATGGCTACCATTAAGGACACAAAGACAAAGGCGGAGAGAACGTTTCACTAAGTGAAGATTTACAAATGTGTAAAAACCATCCTTATGACTAGAAATAGCTGAGTGTCTCTCTCAACACCAAACAAAAGGCGGTGGGAGGGAGGAGCAAAACACAGAAAAAGGGATGCAACCTGCCTGCCTTCCCTGGGGATGAAAAGGTCAAAAGAAAAACAACCATAGGAAAGTTATTTTCTCAGACAGCTCCATCAAGCAGCAGCAGTAGCAACACCCGAAAGAGGCAGTCTCAGCCAGCCATGGGCCTGCAAGGGGGCTGGGGTGCTGATGGTTTGTTTGGAAGGTGGGAGCTCAGGGTGGTGGATAGGCCCCAAGAAGATGTAAGTGCTTTTGTGCATGAGCTAGGTGGGGATTTTTTGTGACATTTATTTTCTTTCTGATTACTAAAGGAATGATACGTATATATGTACACAAGTGCGTGCACGCGCGCGTACATGTATACAGTCATAGGAGAAAATTGAATAAATACAGAGAAGCTCAATGAAGAACATTAATATCCCTGAGTTATGATGCTTGGTTGCATCTAGGAATTGTTACTACATTTGTTCCTGGAGTGATGCTGAGTGCAGTGGGCTCCAGCCATCTGTGCCTGTGGTGGTATGAGAAGACCCTGTGCATGTGTTGTTCCCTTGCAAGCACTTGATTGGAGGGCCAGGCAGCAGACACTGCCTATATTTGTAGCTGGCCAGACCTGGTGTTTATGAGTTCAGGTGGCCATAGATACCACCTGTGCCCCAGGCAAAATTGGGGCTGTCTCTTGTCCCTGGTTGCTCACCCTTGACCTCTAGCCCCCTTTCCCTTCACCGTTCGGGCTGCCCTGAAGATACATATAATTGGTTTCTAGTGATTCTGGGCCCAGCATTTGTGCCAGAGACATGGACAGCTTCAGCGTGCCTCACAGGGGGACAAGTGGGCCAGTGCCCTCAGAGGGCTGTGGGATAGGGGATCAGAGAGGGCCTGGGTGGGCAGTTTGGAGAAGGATGCAGAGCGTGCCTGGGATGAGCAGAGAACTGGGGTCACCCTCTCCACTCAAATAGCTCTTTTCCTGAATTGGTGTGTCTGAGGGTCAGAAGCGTGTGGAAATCACCCCCACTCCCACCTCCCAAGTGGAAAGCCCCAAGATGGCTTTGGGGTTTGAGGACTATGCAGGACCCTTTCTGGGTGCCCTGTGCCTGAATATTTCAGCCTAAAAGGGCTGTTTGTGCTCACCAGAGGGACGGGGTCAAGTTAGGGCTGCAAACAGACGGAGCACGGAGGCTCTCTGAGAGCTGGAGCGGAGCGGGAACGCGGGAACCAGCGGGTTTGGTGCGGGGCACCTCGCAGCCCGCCCGCGCCAGGCTGACAGCTGCCCTCGAGCCACCGCGGCCGCGCCCCCTCCGCCCGGGGCCGGGGAGGGGTAAGGGAGGGGGCCTGGCAGGGCGGCACTGCCCCCCGCGCCGCCCGCCCCGGCCCGGGGAGGACCGTGTGAAAATGAGGCTGGGGCTCGCGGGGCGGGCGGGGCCGGGCCGGGGGTGTCAGAGCGCGGCGGGCAGGGCGCCCGCACACACCTCCCCGAGCCGCCGCCGCCGCCGCGCTCGGCGCCCGCGCTCCGCCGCCTCTGCCCGCAGCTGCCGCGCCATCCATGGGGCTCGCGGGCCGCGGGTGTCCTGGGGCGGCCCGGGCGCTGCTGTTGCTGCTGTCGCTGCTGCTGGCGGCGGCCGTCCCGCCGGGCCGGGGCCGCGCCGCGGGGCCGCCAGAGGGTGAGTGTCCGGCCGCGGGGCGCACCTGGCACGGCGCGTTGGCGCGGGCGGGGCAGGCGCCAGGAAGGGTGTCCTGGTCCCCTGGCGGGGTCCCCCGAGCCGGGCGGGCGGGTCCGGGGGCTTGGTGGCTGGAGCTCCGCGTGGCCCCCGCTCCCCTGGGGCCCTCGCCCGCCGGCCAGGCCAAGGCGCCACCACCGCTTGGGCCAAAAGGGCCCAGGGCTTGAGTCCCGCGGCCCAGACTCAGACCCGGAGCTGCTGACAGTTCCCGCCCCGGTCCCCGCCGCCCTGGATGTCCCCGAGAGCGCCCGCTAGTCAGACTCTGGCCAGCAGAGCAAGGAGGAGGGTACTGACCGGGCCCTCGGGGTCCAGCTCCTCATTGTGTGGATGGGGAGTCTGAGAGGGGCCGGGGCACATCCGTGAGGCCGTGGCAGCTTTGCCCCCTTCTTTCTTTGGGGACCTGGAAGTTCTCCTGCCTGCTTGAGGGTGGCTCCGGGGACCATCTGCGGACCAGCGGCGGTTTGAGGATCTGGGAATACGCTTAAGCAACAACAAGCCTAGGTTTTCAGCAGCCGGAGATAAGAACTCTGGATGTTCCGTGCAAACGGGACTTGCAGTACTTTCAAAACTCTTTAGTTTTTAATTGCCATCCTGGAGTGGTGTCACCTCAGGAAATACTTCTGCCTAGGCGGGTTTCCAGGTTGAGAGGACGAATGCGGCTGGGGGCAGTGGGGACCCCATTCCCACTTTGCACCATCTGAGAGCTCAGGATGGTGTTTGCTCAGAACCCAGGGCGAGCTTTCCCCGCATACCCTAAACCCTCAGGAAGCTGACAGACAGCTGCTCAGCTTTCCGAGCTTTTTTTGCCATCCTTTTAGCAGGCATTTACTATTGTCTACTCACATGCCAGGCACTGTGCTGGCTTGGCATCAGGGACACAGCCTCCGTCTGTTGTCAAGACATTGTCTAGTGGAGAGACAGGCAGGAAAATAGACAGTAACAACCCTGCATGATAAGTGCTATGAAAGGACATAAATCTGGGAGCACATGGTGGGGGACACCTATGCTGGGGGGCATGGCAGGCTTCCTGGAGAAGGTGGAGTTGAGCTGAGTCCTGAAGGCCAGTAGGCGGTGGTGGGCGTAATTCCAGTTAAAGAGAACAGGCTGCATCTGGCAACTGGGGCCTGGAGATGGTATGGTTCATTCCAGGGCTCCCAAGCAGTTTTAGCTTGTGAGGAGTGAAGTGGGCTAGACTGGTGGGGGATGATCCTAGACAAGGGCCAAGGCCAGATCACACATGGCTTAGGGCCCCATACTAGGTGCTTGCTGTGCTCTTTTGCAGATGTGGACGAGTGTGCCCAAGGGCTAGATGACTGCCATGCTGAGGCCCTGTGTCAGAACACACCCGCCTCTTACAAGTGCTCCTGCAAGCCTGGCTACCAAGGGGAGGGCAGGCAGTGCGAGGGTAAGTTACTTGGGGACCATGTCAGGGGCCAGCAGAGAAGCTCCCACCTCCTTAGTTCTTGTAGTGGCCACTCATGTTGGTAAAATTGCTGCCTCCTAATTCCCTGTCCCCTCACCTCCCGCTACTCCCAAATCATGTCACCCACTCTCTGAAATGCATTTCAGATCCTTACAGGATCTGAACATTAGGTCTTCCCCAGAGCTGGCCATTGTTTTATCTGGCTCTGAAATGTCCTTTTGTCTAGCTTCTGGTAAAGAAGAGGTGCTTTAGTATCTTTTGGTTCCACTCAGAGCCATGCTGATCAGGAGAGCCATGCCTGCCAGAGCAGGGCTGATCCTGTACCTCTTTGGGGCAGCTTGTACCCTTCCCTGAAGTCTGAATGATGGAGTCCCGCCCTCCCCTGCTGGCTTAGGAGGCTCCATCCTGTCCATGGCTTCAGCAGTGTGACAAACATTATCACAATGTTTGGCATTGTGATCTGCCAAGCTTTAGAGCTACATCAAGGAACCGCCTCATTTAGAGATACAAGTTCACCCCAGAGACATGTGTGTATAGAGGAATATTTTAGCCCTTAGGGCTCCAGATCTGGGAGCCCGAAGTCTGGACTCTGCCATTGTATGTTCTGGGCTAAGTGTCATGAACTCGGAAGTTCAAGACTGGCCAGAGACTGGGAACTCATAGAAAGAGACTGTTCTTGGGGATAGAAGTCATGGCACATCGGAGTTGGCAGGGCTATTCAGGGATCTCTGGGCCAATCCCATTCTTCATTTCACAGATGTGGACTCTGAGGCCCAGGGGACTTGTGGCCATGATCACATAATTAGCCTGCAGGTGAAAAAAAGTCAGATCTCCACCCCAGCTCTGTCCCCAGCCCCATATTTCTCATATTTACTCAGCCTTCTGCTGTCCATCTTTGGCTGGGTGAGAACTCCTACTATCTATAGTCATCCTGTGCAGGAAGAAGTTTAAAATTGATGCGGAACATTGAACTCATCTCCGCAAGTCCTTCCTTGCCTCTGGACCCAACCTTGACAAACACGTTGGTGGCCCCTTTCATTTTGACAAAACTCTTTATAACTTGGGCTTAACTCCAGTGGGAAATGATCTTCTGAACACTTGCAGGGCCTAAACCTACCTATTGAGTAGGAAAGTCCAAGTCCCTTTCCACTTTGAAAAACACATTAACTTCTTTAGATCAGGAGGAAAGTTTTTGATAAATGTCTATTCTGGTGCCATTTAATGGCCTAGTATTCATACCCTGTTGTTTCAAACTAATCTGTTTCATATTGTGGCCTCTGAGTGATAAAGATTCTTGGTATTGGAACAGTGTGTAATGTCCGGTAGTGCCTGGAAGGTGGTAGACACTCAATAAACCTTCTTGTTTTTGAATAAATGACTGTATAAATAAATAAATGACTAGGCTTAGTCACTAGCACCTTGACACAAAGTCCTTTCCAACAAATAGACAAACACACAAATGAAATATCTAGATATAGAACATGCAGATGACCAAGAAGGCAGGTGACTGCCAGATGCTTTTGTAGTATTATAGCAATGGCCTAATTCTGCTCCCCTCCCCCATCTCCTTGTCTTCTTAGCACAGCTGAGACAAGCTGGGATTTTCAAAATGAACTTTGTTTTTTTTTTTTTTTTTTGAGACAGAGTCTCACTCTTTTGCCCAAGCTAGAGTGAGTGCCGTGGCGTCAGCCTAGCTCACAGCAACCTCAAACTCCTGGGCTCAAGCGACCCTACTGCCTCAGCCTCCCGAATAGCTGGGATTACAGGCATGCGCCACCATGCCCGGCTAATTTTTTTCTATATATTTTTAGTTGTCCGATTAATTTCTTTCTATTTTTAGTAGAGACGGGGTCTTGCTCTTGCTCAGGCTGGTCTCGGACTCCTGAGCTCAAGCAATCCGCCCGCCTCGGCCTCCCAGAGAGCTAGGATTACAGGCATGAGCCACCGCGCCCGGCCCCAAAATGAACTTTGTTAAAAGGAAAACCAAAAGAAAATATAGACAGCAAGTATGAATAACAGATGGAATTATAATAGGCAAGTTTGGATCAGGTGATACCCCTTGGGAAATCAGGAAGCTGTCCTTTGTGCACGAGGGGCAAAGCTCCTGCTTCTTGCATCAGAGGAGGCACGCTCCTGGTCAGGTTCATAGCAAGTGGGGTTGGTGGTCCATCCATGAAGCCCTTATGCTTCTCCATGTTCATGTTTGTCCAGAAACAAGCAGCCATCTCTTTCTCTCTGCCCTATGTCATGGGAGGCCAAAAGACTATGTCTCCCAGAAACATCTCTCTGCATACCACTCTGTTATTAAACATTCTATTTGCAGTACTGGAATTCATACATGTTAGTACCTTGCTTGGGGAAAAAACCATTCACTTCTTTACTATGTGGATATTCTATGTCCTCCAATTGCTGTATACTAGCTGGGGGCACAACACGATGCCACTGATGAAAGTACATCTTTAGTAAATGATGTTAAATGACAAGTGGCAAGAATTTCCTTACTCTTAGCTTTTGAGGTTGATATATTACAAATGAAATGGAATTGCTAACAGTTTATAGTTGAAAAGTATGCTATTTAGTTTAAAATAACTAATAATTGACTGGCATGTCTCCTTTTATAGACTTAAATTTATTTTAAAATAATATATGATTTTTGTTATAAAAAGTCAAACAATCAAAAAATGTATAAAATAAAAAATTAAAGTGCCTATCCCTTTATCCACATATAGTCATCGTTACCAGTTAGCATGTTTCCTTTGTACTGTCATTTTGAACTAAAACCCTGGAAGGATTTGATCTTTTAAATACCTGTGCTATTTATAATGCTAGTAAGTAAGTATATCACTGTTTAGTTTGGATTTTTTCACATAGGAATCCAGAAATGGAGATTTTCTCCTAATAGGGAAGAGGAGAGGAAATAAAGATTATAAGGTTCAAAGATTTAACTCCTTTCTCTGTGTTTCGGGGTCCATTAATTTTGAAGCCTCTTGGGACCAACCCATAGTATCATTTATGTTGTGATTATTGCCAGGCTCACTGCTTATAATTAAGTTCAAGGATGGTTTGCCCAGAATGGCCAGAATTTTATCCTTCATAAAGTTTCCTCTCCCAAAATGTTGGAGAAATGAAAGTATGAGCTCTGAATAAGTAGTTTTTTAAATAATGTGATTCAGAAGTAGCTTTAGATAATGTTTTATCCTAAATAATCTTTGCTTATATCCCAGACTTTGGGGGGGGCATGTCTCAGTGGTGAATATTCATTGTATAGTCCTTATTTTTCAGTTTAAGAAACTGAATCAAGTTTAACAAGGATGAATCTAAAGTTGGCCTTTGTACAAGGAGCTGTGTTTTTCTTTTTTAAAAACTTTTTATTTTGAAATAATTTTAGACTGCAGAAAAGTTGTAAAGATAGTGCAGAGTTCATATGTGTATATGCCCTTCACGCATCTTACCCTAATGTTAGCAACTTACACAACCACAGTAGAGTTAGCAACACCAGGAAATTAACATTGGCACAATACTATTAACTAAACTGTAAACTTTATTCAAATTTAACCAGTTTTTACGTACTGCTCTTTTTCTGCTTCAGAATCCAATTCAAGGCCTCACATTATATTTACCTGTCATATCTCTTTTGTCTCCTCCAATCTGTGACAGTTCCTCAGTCTATCCTTGTCTTTCATGACATTGACACTTTTAATGAGTACTGCTCACTTAGTTTGTCTTATGTTTTCTCATGATAAGAATTGAAATGATAAGAGAATGTCTTGAGTTTGTTTTCTCATGATGAGACTGATGTCATACATTTTTGGCAAGACTACCACAAAGGTGCCATTGTGTCCTTCTCAGTGTATCACATCAGGGCCACGTGATGTCAACATGTCCCATTCCTGGTGATGTTAACCTTGATCACCTGAATAAGATCGTGTTTGCTGGGCTTTTCCACTGCAAAGTTACTATTTTTTTTCCTCTTGCCATAGATGCATATCTTAGGCGAGATACTTTGAGACCATACCAGCATCCTGTTTCTCCTCAAATCTTTGCTCACTGATGTTAGCATCCAGCTATGGATCTTGCCTGTAGTAATTATTACTGTGATGTTTGCCTGCTGGTAATTTTATATTTCCCTCATACTTTATATATCTATTAATTGAGATTCTTTCGTAAGGAAGAACTGTCCCTTCTTCACCATTTATTTATTTATGCACTTATTTATTTATTTATACTACGATGGACTCATAGGTATTTATTTAATTATGTCAATAATTATTTATTTTTGGCTCAAGTTGTTCCAGCTTCAGCCATTGGAACTCCTTTCCATTGTCTTCTGTGTCATTTTGATATCCTTTTTTGGGAAATTCCTAAACTTCTGGTACCACAATATGCTCTAGACTTATATTATATTTTCCCTTCTTTAGCCTTAAAATCAACCACTTCTCCAAGGAGCTGTGATTTTTTTTATTGGAAAATTGCATATAGAAACCAAGATCTGGCTGCTGAGTGATCTCCCTGCTACAGGGGTGTCATTGCTCCTAGCCCCTCTTAGTGCACAGAGTTAGGAAACACATGTATGCATACTAACCCACCTGTACCCATACATCTGTATTTATTCCTTATGTCTATCCATCTGCATGTATATAAATTAAAAACAATGAGTTACACTGATACTTTGAGTTCCAAACCAATACTGCAAGATTCATTCTAACCTAAGTCTTTATTCGTAACTTCTTTCTCCAACAGTAAGAAAAGCTGGCTCTCATTATCTGCAATGTATTTACCTCTTTGTTCAATCCTAGTACACATGTATTTACAGAATTACTAACCCATAACCCTGTGAGTAAAACATTTACTAAGTAGAGTACGGTGTTTACTAGAGTATAGTACACAGCTGTTTTTGTTTTTAACCTTACAGCATCCAGTCATGATGTTGTTTTTCAAAGTTACTTGGGTTAGTACTTTTCTTCCCCATCCGCTTCAGTGTGGTTACGCTATTAATTTATAATACAGTTAGGCTCATTTGTTTCTTTTTGTATTCCATTATTTTTTGTCCACTCCCACCCCTCCCACCCCTGCTTCCTGGTTGATTGTGTGTCTGCATGTATGTGTGCATGTATGTAAAGCATCCCCATGGCTCTAAGAGTCAAAGGTATGCACAGAAAGGTATGCACAGAGAAGTCCTGCTCCCTTCTTCCTATTACTTGGTTTTCATGCTTCTTTCTTTCCACCTCTTCCCCCACACCCTGTGGGTCACCAATCTCTGTAGTTTCTGGTCTATCCTTTCTATATTTCTTTTGTATAAATAAGCAGATAAATGTATATTTTCTTTTTAAAAACTTTACTAAGGTATAAATTATATATCATAAAATTCACTGATTTTTTAAGTGTACAAATCAATGATTTTAATAAATTAGCTGAATTGTGCAACTATCACCATAATACCAATATCACCACATTTTTAAATGTTTTCTTCACCTCAATAAGATCCCTCATGATCATGTATTCCTCATCCCCAGCCCAGCCCTAGGCAACCGGTAATCTACTTTCTATATCTATATATTTGCTTTTTCTGGAAATTTCATATAAATGGAATCATACAATATGTGGTCTTTTGTGTTTGGATCCTTTCACTTAACATAATGCTTTTGAGGTTTATCTGTGTTGTATCCTGTTTTGACATTTCATTCGTTTTTATTGTTGAATAGTATTCCATTGTGTGAATATACCATGTTTTGTTTATTCATTCACCAGTTGATAAGCATTTAGGTTTTTCTACTTTGGGGCTTTTATAAATAATGTTGCTATGAACATTTGCATGCAAGTCCTTGTATGGACATAATATTGCGTTTCTCTTGGGAATATATCTAGGAGTAGAATTACTGGATCATAAATATCAAATTTATATTTAACTTTTAAAGAAACTGCCAAACTGATGATTTCTTGGCTATCACACCAAAGGTACAGGCAACAAAAGAAAAAACTAGACAAATTGGACTTCATGAAAATTTAAAAATTTTGTACATCAAAAGACAATATGGGGGGGAGGGGGGAGGAGGGGCGGGTATTTGCATACACAAAGAGTACAATACGCACCATCCAAGGGATGGACACGCTTGAAACTCAGACTTGGAGGGAGGGGGGAGGTAAGGGCAATATACATAACCTAAACATCTGTACCCCCATAATATGCTGAAATAAAAAAAAAAGACAATATGAACAGAATATAAAGGCAACTCACAAAATGGGGAAAATATTTGTAAATCATGTATCTGATAAGGGGTTAATATCCAAAATATATAGAGAACTCTTAAAACTCAACACCAAAAATCAAACAACTCAATTCAGAAATGGGCAAAGGATTTGATATTTCTCTAAAGAAGATATACAATTGGCCAATAAGCACATGAAAAGATGTTCAGCATCACTAATGATTAGGGAAATGCAAATCAAAACTATAAATGGGAGATATTGCTCACACCCATTAGGATGACTACTATCAAAAAAACCCCAGAAAATAACAAATTTGATGAGGATGTGGAGAAAATGAAAACCTTGTACACTGTTGGTGGAAATGTAAAGCGGTATAGCCACTATGGAAAACAGTATGGTGGTTTCTCAAAAAATTAAAAATAGAATTACCATACGATCCAGCAATTCCACTTCTGGGCATGTATCCCCAAAAATTGAAAGCAGAATCTTAAAGAGATATTTGTACACCCATATTCATAACATTATTCACAATAGCCAAAATGTGGAAGCAACACAAGTGTCCATCAACAGATGAATGGATAAGCAAAATGTAGTACATAGAATGGAACATCCAGCCTTAACAAAGACGTAAATCCTGACATATGCTACAACATGGACAATATGTGAGAACATTATGTTAAGTGAAGTAGACCAGTCATAAAAAAACAAATACTGTATGATTCCACATGTATGAGATACTTAGAGTAGTCGAAATCATAGAGTCAGAAAGTAGAATGGTGGGTGCCAGCGGCTGTGGGGAGGGGGAATGAGAGTTATTGTTGAATGGGTGTAGAATTTCAGTTTTACAAGGTGAAAAAAGTTCTGGAGATAAATGGTGGCGATAGTTGCATACAACATTATGAATGATTTAATCTTACCAAACTGTACACTTAAAAAAAAAGAAACTGCTAAACTGTTTTCCAAAGTGGCTATGCCATTCTACATTCCCATCAGCAACGTATGAAGGTTCCTATTTCTCCACATCCTTGCCAACAGTTGCTATTGTCTGTCTTTTTTATCATAACCATTCTAGTGAATGTGAAATGGTATCTCACTGCGGTTTTAATTTACATTTCCCTGATAACTAATGATGTTGAGCATTTTTTCATGTGTCTGTTAGCCATTTGCCTATCATCTTTGGTGAAATGTCTATTCAAATCTTTTGTCTGTTTTAAAATTGGGTTGTTTATCTTATTGAGTCATGAGAGTTCTTTGTCAGTCCTTATAAATTTATGGACTGTGTGTTTGGTATTATATCAAAGAAATCTTTACCTAATCCAAGTCTTAAAGACTTTTCTCATATATTTTCTCTGAAAAACTTTACAGTGTTAGCTCTTACATTTAGGTCTCTGATCCATTTGAGTTGGTTTTTGTGTCTGGTATGAGATAAGGGGCTAAAGTCATCTTTTTTTCATATGGACATCCAATTATCCCAGCACCATTTGTTGAAAAGGCTAACATTTATCCCACGAATCACCTTAGCACTTTTGTTTAAAATCAAGTTACCATAATAAATATAAGGGTTTATTTCTGGACTCTCAATTCTGTTCCATTGATCTATATGTCTGTCTTTATGCCCAGACCACCCTGTCTTGGTAACTGTACCTTAAAGTTGTAGTTAAAGTCCTCCAAATTTGTTCTCCTTTTTCAAAATTGTTTTGGCTCTTCTGAGTCTTTCGTATTTCCATGTAAATTCCAGGATAACCTTGTCAAGTTCTGGAAAAAAGTGTGCTGAAATTTTGTGTTTTTATATTCCTATATTTCTTACATGAAGATAATATAATACAGATACTCTTTTGATTTTTTCATTTAATAGTATATCCTAGAAATCACTCCAAATCAGCTCATGGAGATCTTTGTCATTTTTTTTTTAACAGCTGCATAGCACTCCCTCGAGTAGAGGTACCATAATTTACTAAACTATTCTTATATGTATGGGCAAAAATGCTGCAGTGAATAATCTTGTGCGTATTTGTTTTCCTGTTGTTGGAGATATATCTTCGGGGTTGATTCCTAGAAGTAGGATGGTTGGTTAAAAGGTAAATGCATATGTCTCCATAAATAGCCTTTGTCTGGTTTACTTCTGTTTTATTCCTCAGACATTGATGAATGTGAAAACGAACTCAATGGAGGCTGTGTCCATGACTGTTTGAATATTCCAGGCAATTATCGTTGCACTTGTTTTGACGGCTTCATGTTGGCTCAAGATGGTCATAATTGTCTTGGTAAGGAAAACATTTGGAAATGGCAATTCCCATTTACCCACCCTCCAGGACCCCCACCCCTTTCTTTCCTTTGGTGAACCCTTATGAAGACAGAAGAGGATCAGAGGCTGGGCGTGGTGGCTCACGCCTGTAATCCTAGCACTCTGGGAGGCCGAGGCGGGGGGGATTGTTTGAGCTCAGGAGTTCGAAACCAGCCTGAGCAAGAGCAAGACCCAGTCTCTACTAAAAATAGAAAGAAATTAATCGGCCAACTAAAAATATATAGAAAAAACTAGCCGGGCATGGTGGTACGTGCCTGTAGTCCCAGCTACTCAGGAGGCTGAGGCAGAAGGATTGCTTGAGCCCATGAGTGTGAGGTTGCTGTGAGCTAGGCTGACGCCACGGCACTCACTCTAGCCCAGGCAACAGAGTGAGACTCTGTCTCAAAAAAAAAAAAAAGAGGATCAGAGACTTGTGTTTTCTGACCCCTTGGAAATCAGACTCCCTGATAGAAAATCAGGTAAAGTGTTTTAGTTGTGTTGTTTTTCTTTTTTTTAATTTTTTTTTTTTTTCTTTTTTGAGATGGAGTCTGGCTCTGTCACCCGGGCTAGAGTGCAATGGGGTCAGCATAGCTCACAGCAACCTCAAACTCCTGGGCTCAAGAGATCCTCCTGTCTCAGCCTCCTGAGTAGCTGGGACTGCAGGCACGCAGCACCATGCCCGGCTAATTTTTCTATTTTTAGTAGAGACAGTGTCTTTTTTGCTCTTGCTCAGGCTGGTCTCGAACTCCTGACCTCAAGTAATTCTCCTGCCTTGGCCTTCCAGAGTGCTAGGATTACAGGTGTGAGCCACTGTGCCTGGCCAGTGTGTTTTAGTTTTTAGGTGACTAGTCATAATAGACATTTTCCGTTAGTTCAAGGAGATGGGTGGACATGGTCATTACCGTTTATTGATTTTCTAGTATTGGCTTGTTACTTTTAAAATCATTTGTCTTGAGTTGCAAGGTCCTGACTTATAACCATTTATTTAATGCTGTGTCTATTCTGGAATAGGTAAAACTCCTTCTCTTGAAGACTCCAAATGTGTGCTTGGGTCATAGCCAAATAGACCTCCCTCTTTTTTCTTGAAAGAGAAAGAAAATCAAACAGAAACCTTCCCTGAACATCCTTCTAGTATTCCACAAAACAGAAACATCTGTTTCATTCCCTGAGTTAGAGACTGCAAAGAGTGTTGTTTACATTGATTCCTTATGCCAGGGAAAAAAGAGAACTTAGAAACAGCAAGCAATTGGATGGGGCTGAGTGTTGGATAGTCTTAGAGAATACAGCACACCTGGCAGGTAGGTATTTATGGTTTTCTTTATAAAGCTGGTGTTATCAGTTGGACAGGAGGATATCAGGGGAGACACGTGACATCAGGGGTCCTTTGATACTGCTGACCTTTCATATGGTTGACTTACTAATGTCTAGTTGGTCAACTAAGTAGCAGCTCGAGCCAGACTCTGGCTCTGTGGGGGCAGCTATGCCCCCTTATGGTGCAGTAGCAATGGCCACTTGATCAAATGCTTTGAGAGCAGCATAAAAGGCACTAGAAAAAGTACAGGTAGAACTTGTGTTTTGAGTGTTGTCGCTCTGGAGTTGGGGAGGGGAGCATTTCCATTTGAGACCCAACCCTCATATGATCTTTGTCCTGCTTCAATGTCCCTGGAGCTCCATCCTCATAGACTCTGTTCGTTCCTGTCTGTGCCCTGTGTGAGGGGTCAGGCTTTGGTGTGCAGACCACTTGGCTTCTCAAATCTGCAGCTGTCAGTAAGACTTGATTGAAGGCTGGGGGCTCAATGACCCCTCTGCAGACTTTCTAGGCCGTCAGTAACACAAAACGACACATTTGAGAGACAATCCTGAGAGCAGGAATAAACTGAAATTAATTAAAAACTCAAAAAAGTATAATTTGTTGGGAAGCATACAGTATGGACTTTTCGTTTGTTTGTTTTAACCATTTTCAGGGAGAGATTTCTCTTTGATGTGTCAACAATGACATTTTGAGGATTCATATGTGATGTAGTCTGATGGTCATGATTGTGGTACTCTAATCCACAGCCTGGGGGAAGGTGTGAGCTTCCTAAGGGCAGCAAGCTGAACCTTCCAGGGGTTGAGGACCTGGCCAGGGTTGGGCGGGGTGGTTCTGAGTGCAGGCTCAGAAATCCAGAGCCCAGATTGTTCCTTGTCTTAGCCAACAACCCAGCTATCTCAGCAGAGCGTCTTCACTTCCCTTCCTCGGGGTCATCATTGTGGACTGGGCAGCAAGGATCTGCCTTGCAGAGAGACCCTGAGCATCCGCTGAGGATTTCTGAAGTGGGTAAGGATTCCTTAAAATGAAGGCATGAGAAAATAAAGTACTTTTGGAAGAGCAGCACACACAGAGATTGCTCTGCCATTCAGACTTGAAAGGGCTGAAGCTCTTTGTGGCAAGAAGCTCACAGCCAAAACTTTTCCGGAGTGGCAGTTTCCCGAGTTGTCTGGGATGACCCCTCACCTCTCCTCCACCCCCTGACCACACATTAACCACAAATATATTAGCAGGGATATCAGAGGACAAACACCACTTAGCTCTGGCATTAAACCCGGAGTGCTCCAAGATCCTGAGTGCTGGCAAGCCTCAAAAACGAAAGGCAGCTCTTCCACGCAGCTACCCCATCTGCACTTAGTTTCTATTTATAGAGTATCTGGGAGCTCGGCATAGCTGTTCAGCTTGGTAGCAGTGGTTCTCAGCCCTGGTCACACATTAGAATCACCTGAGAAGCCTCAGCCTCATCCCAGACTGGTTACATCAGTATCTCTGGAGGTCGCATCCAGGCATCAGGGTTCTAACATGTAGCCAGGGTTGGGAACCACTGTTTTTCAGTCTGGAGAAGCTCACCAGCCTAGTGATAGAATTTGTGTATGTGAACACACACGCTTTTGTATTTATCCAATCAGAGTACATCATCCAGCTTAATGACACATTTCTGATTGCTTTGGAGAAAAGAAATAGTGGGTTGAATGTGGGGTGCGGGTGTGGCAGCTCAGACGGGAGCACGCCTTAGCTCACAGCCAATCCAGGATTTGGTGTTCAGGGAAACAGACCCTTCCAGCTCGCTGTGGAACAGCCAGGCCAGGTGTGTTCCAGCACGGCCCATCCTCCGGGATGTGCCTCCTTCACCCTTTGGCACAGACAGGGGCAAGTTTGTTAGGCTTTAGGGGATGGCTCGAGTCCCATCAGTTTAGTCAGGCATCTGCCTGGTAGTGTGGGAGGACAGATGACTGTAAGATCTGAAGCTTGAAACCAGATAACAGATATTTAAATGTGAATTTTCTTATTACAGATACACCCAGGAGCTAGTAATAGGCACATGAGAAATTAGGCTGGAGAAAATAAATTGCTTTTATATTGGCCTTCTCCAGGAGCCTTTGTTGTCTGAAACTTTCCTTGAAGTTTCTCTTCTTTGGATCTGGTGATGCTGCGCTCACCTGCTTGTTCGTGCATTTTACAGTTAATGAGCACCTGCTGTATTCCAGGGCTGTGCGAATTAAAACAAAAAGTCTCTGTCTTCAAGGAGTTTGCAATCTAGTGGAGATGGATAGGTAAAGGATTTTGAGAATGCAATTCAGTAAGTGTGTTAATACAGCTGTGCCCAGGGTATCACAGATGGAGGGGGAGGAAGGTCCCCTAAAGATTCCTCCCTCCCTGCCTTTCTGACAGCTCCTTTCCAGAGGCTCCTGGGACTCCTGCTGTCTCTTCCACCTCCTCCCCGCCCCGGCATTATCCAGAATTCTACCTCTGGCTTTCTCTTTTCTGCGCCCTTTCTCTCCCTTCCCGCACTCCTGCCTTTGGCTCTCTCGTCAACATCCACCGCTTTATCAGGCAACTACAAGTAAATGGTTTTCAAAACTGTGCATACAACACCAGATTCTCTTCCAACCAAACTCAGGTTTCGTACCACCTGCTCGACCTAGCCCTGAATTCCAGCGTTTCAGACACATCGCCTCCCTGCCTTGCAGGGGAATGAGGGGGAACCGTATCTCCATTCCCATTTCTGTGCCCAGCACTGATCTTCCCATGTTTCTTTTCCAGAAGGCCTTGGTGTCCTCTAACAACGCCCCACCCCACAGCCCACAGGCTCCCGGCCCTGCAGCACCTTGTCCACCCCTGGTCTTCTGTGCCTTGCTTTCCAGCATCCCGACCACCAGCCCCTGCCCCGCACCCCACTAGCACTAGCTGTGGCTGTTTCAGGTACATGTGTGAAGCTGGGTCCCAGGATTTCCATTCTCCCCCTTCCCTGTGTCCTACCCTCAGCTGCTGCTTATGTTTCCCAAAGCGAAGGCCTGACTATGTCCCTTCTGCTCCAGTGGTTCCCAGCTGCTTCCCAAATTAAGTAGGAACTTCTTTGCCTGGTATTCAAGATTCTGCAGTGTGACCCCGATCGATCTTCCCAGCTGTCTCTCCTGTAACTTCCCTCCCTGTGCCCTGTGCTCCTGCCAAACCGGATGACTCACCGGTATCTGAATGTGCTCCATGCTTCCCAGCCTTCGTGCTATCACTCACGCTCTCTCTTCTACCTACAGCCCTTTCTCTCCTGATTTGTAACTGGAGAAATCCTAAGGGCTCATCTTTCATCAGCTTTTCCATAAATCCCACCCTGATACCCTACAACCAGATGTGACCTCCCTTTTTTTGTACCAGCTTTTACTTTATCTCAGAATCATTTGTATATTCATATCTTACTGAAGGGCACACTCCTAGAGGGAAGGAATTTTATCTTCCTCATCTGTATTTTACTGTCTCCTCTAGCACTGTGCTACAGGAGAAAAGAAGGTGTTCAATAAACATTTACTGAACTGATTATCTTATGTCCGTGTGGTGGGCGTGACCAAGTGAGCTCCAGACCCAAAAGTGCTGCGTTAATTGTCTGTGGGCCTCACCTTCAATCGCAAGAGCTTCCATGATGCAGGGATCAGAAAAGGGACCTCATCTCTGCCTAGCAGGAGCCCCTGAGCTGTTGGGCTGGGTGGGGTGTTTGAAACAGTCGCCAAAGCAAAGGCTAATAATCCCTCTCTCCCTCCAGACGTGGACGAGTGCCTGGAGAACAATGGTGGCTGCCAGCACACCTGTGTCAATGCCATGGGGAGCTACGAGTGCCGCTGCAAGGAGGGCTTTTTCCTGAGTGACAATCAGCACACGTGCATTCACCGCTCAGAAGGTACCTCTGTCCTGCTGTGGATGGGGGCAGAGTGAGACATCTGAGACCCATCCTTGCACACACACAATGACTTTACAGGGGCAGCTGGAGGCCTGAGGACGGGCCCAGACTCTGCTGCTGGGTAACTGTGGGCAAGTTTTTTTAACTTCAGCTTCCTCCGCTGGCAAAATAAGTGCGCTGGACTGGGTGAGCCCTGAGGTCCTTTCAAACTCTCACATTCTCCGATTCTAATCTTTAAATAGCGTACATTTCAAACATTACTAGGTGTCTCAGGAGCAATGTAATGGATGAGTTGCCAAGTTCTTCAAAAAGGTGCTAAAAACCACAACACCGGTGTGACCGTGCTCCTTGCTCTGGGTGGGGAGGGAGGAGGCTGGATCTTTCCCATGGAGACTTTCAATGAATTGTCCTGCTTTCAGCCCCAAGCTAGATCTGGCCCTTCCCTGTTTTGCACTTTTGAACTCCAAGAGGCAGAAGGGCTCCCTCCCTGGACTTCGGCTCTCTGTGCTGTGGTTTCTTTCACCCGTGTCACCATTTACCTTTCCTCCATAAATGTGCAGAAAACTGTTCTCTTCCGATGGCCTTCCTTTCATTTACTTTACTGTGAGTTTATACCTTTTTTTAAATCCTCTGTTATATTGGTGGATTCTTGGGAGGGAAAGGCATTAAGTACATGTGGCCAATTAGTTATTTTTAACTGAATGTCATCCTTTTAATTCTACTCTGCTCACTTTTAAGCCAAAGAGCCACATTTTGGTGACTGTATTTCTCTCGGGATTGCATCTGTGTTCTTTTAGGGGAAATGCCCTAAATATTAGACTATTAACTCCTTTTGTCACATGTTGCTTATTCATTCCCATAACTTAAGAATGAAGTCATTTTAAATTCTACTACTATTTAATCACATATTTGCAGATTTATTGTTTTAATAATGGTTTTTGTGACTTTTCAAGGGTTTCTTCATGGAGATGATTTTTGTCTCATTTTCCAAGGATGATGGGTACTAAGAAAAATTCTTAGAAAAACCCCCAGGAGCCGATGGCTTTGATGGCTATCACGTCTAGCCTGTTCATTCTCCGGGCAGGAGAGTCACACACACTGGGTCTAATCAAGTGGATTTCTTTTCTCATGCCAGGCCCTTGAAGGAGTAGCAGTTGGGTTTCATTTTCTTGCCAGGTTCTCTGGTCTCTTTGGTGTGTACCGCAGTCTTGTTCAACACAGGCAGAACCCAAGGTAGGAATGAATTAAGATGTCAGTGGCACAAAGGCTTCTGCCCTTTTGGTTGCTCAGAGCTGCTTCCTGGGAAGTCACTCTGGCTTTCTCTTCAGGTGGCTGACGGGGAAGTGGTTGAACCTGTAGGTAAACCCATTGCTTGAACAACCGCAGTGTGGATTCCACCCGCTCACAAAGCAGCTTGTGGCAATTAAGATCATCTCTTATCCTTGCACCTCCAGAGCCCTGGCTCATTCCCTCTGTCCCCTCCTGCAAGCTCCCCAGACTGATTAGAGACACAGGCTCCTCATAACAGAAGCAAATACAAACGCAGCTTCTTTCTGCAAACTGTTTTCTAAATTTTCTACGATTCAGACATTCTTGGATCCCCTGAAGAGTATTTAAAACGAACATATTTGTCTGGAACTAAAACCAAAATCCAAGAGTTGGAGTTGTGGTCTGGAAGTGCTCTGTGTGATTTTCTGTTGCATTTCAACCTGATTGCTTGGCAAATTCATGGCAGTGTGAGCCAACAGGTTATAGCGATTTGTAATGGAGAACCTTTCCCTCCTAGGGCTTTAATTCTTCAAGTAGAACAGCCTGTAAACAGTTTTCTTATAGGATTTCTTCCCTGATGTGCATATTAAACCCTTAGAAACTGTACTAAAATAGACTTTAAGACCCACAGTAGAGACCTTAAAAATGATTAAAAGACGGTAACACTGCAAGCTAGTATTTTCTAGTGCTACTGTTATTGATTTTAGTAATTATTTACTAAATGTTTTTTAATAGAGGGGATCATAACAGTCGATTCTGAAGGAAAGCTCAACCTATTGATTTTTTTTTTTATCCTTGGAGACCCTCAAAACTCTCATAAAGAGACTGTGTGTTTTCACCCATATAATGAGGATAGGCTGGAGAGAAACATCACCCCCAGCCTGCCTTTGTTCCTATTCATGGGTGCTCAGGCTCTCAAAATGAGCTTTCTCTTTCATTTTGTCTGCTCTGAGAAAGTTTGGATGGTGGACTGCCGCCTTTTCAGGGCAGTGTGGAAGGTGTCAGGGAGGTGAAGAAGCTGTACTCTGAGCAGAGCCTGTTTCTCACTTTATGTAATGTGTCCCTCCCAGTTCACAAGGCATATTTTTATTTGGTTTCCAGAAATATCCTTCAGTGGAACCTTGAGCCTAGGAGCACCAGAGTGGGGCATTTCCAGTGTTTTTTTTTTTTTTTTTTTTTTGAGACAGAGTCTCACTCTTTTGCCCGGGCTAGAGTGCCGTGGCGTCAGCCTAGCTCACAGCAACCTCAAACTCCTGGGCTCAAGCGATCCTTCTGCCTCAGCCTCCTGAGTAGCTGGGACTACAGGCATGCGCCACCATGCCCAGCTAATTTTTTCTATATATTTTTAGTTGTCCGATAATTTCTTTCTAATTTTAGTAGAGATGGGGTCTCGCTCTTGCTCAGGCTGGTCTTGAACTCCTGAGCTCAAACAATCCCCCCGCCTCGGCCTCCCAGAGTGCTAGGATTACAGGCGTGAGCCACCGCGCCCGGCCCATTTCCAGTGTTTTAAGCTATTTCCTTTCTGGTGAACTAACAGTCCTGGACATGACTGCCAAGCCAGTTTTGGGGAGAGCTAGGACCAGTGCTGGGCCACCAGTTTGGACCAGATGCATCTGTAGCTCCAAGCAGTGGTCTTGTTTTGAGTCAAGGTACTATGAAGAGCTTTGGGGTCACCTCTTGAAAAGCCATCAGCATTTCCAGTGCCATTTAAGCCTCCATTACCTCCTGATAACTTCAGGTCTAGCTTGATATGAGAGACATCAGGCAGCAACTTTTCTGAGTATCACAATGGCATCCAGCACATGGTCATTCTTACAAAATGTTTCTTGTGTAAATGAATTGCTCTGAGGCTACTGTAAAGGTCACTTTGCAAATGTCTTAACAGACTTATAAACAGAATGAAAAAGAAGAAGGTGACCTGTTTCGGAAGTGTACTTTCCAAGTGCTATTGCCACCCTTTTGTAGGCACTATTATGTTTAACCCTGAGTGCTAGTTATTTCAAATGTCTGCTGACCCAAGGACAAACACAGTGCTTGCTAGGCCTTCTCGGGAGGACAGGATACTGCTTCTAGAAGTAGCTATCACCTGTCTCATGCTATCTCAGTGCTGGAGAGCAAATAACACCTTCAGAAATTACCAGCCAGAGCAAGAGAAAGCCTTCCATCAATCCGGCACAAGCCTCTTTCTGTGTTAATTGGCAGCAGCTCTTGGCATGGGTGAAGGAATACCGGCAACATCCAGCAAACTGAGCACTAGAGTGCAAATAGCTCGTAACTGTCAGATAAAAAAACAAGATGGTTTTAAGAGAGACTCAAGAAAGCATGGGATGTATTAACTATTGCACTGTCTTTTAGAATAGGAATGGCATCTGTTTGTATTAAAACAATTGGTCTAGTTAAGCACAGTTTGATGGCTCTGTGGTGAGAGTTGGAGAGATACTTTTGACTTCATTAGAACCTATTGGCTAAGGCTTTAGGAGCACAATACAGAATAGCGTTAGACCCTAGAGAAGGTGAATAAAACCTGTTTGTACGCATGCTTAAAACAATGCTATTTCTAGTATTAGAAAGTGTCTCGTTAGTAGGGAGCCAGTGAAAACAAAGTCATTTGTACTCACCATCAAATTGGTATTAACTAATCAACACATAAATGCACATATAAGAATAACATCTATTGGATGTTGGGCAGGGGGGAGGGGGGC